ATATAATGCTTATGCGTTTTGCTTTTTCGTTGTATATGCAACTAGACGGGAGCTGGGATTAATATTCAAGCCACCCGTGCAATGATCCTCGTCCCGACCCGAGAGCTCGCCGAACAGGTGACTGGCCAAATGAAAAAACTTGCAAAGTACTGTGAAGATGTTCTCGTCGCGAACGTGGCTGGTGGTGGAACAAGCCACTTGAATAAGTGAGTCTTTCGGCGAACATTGTTCATCTAGAAATCTAACCTTGAAACCAACCAACAATACAAACAAGAATGCAGCTCAGTGACTGTCCCGATATCGTTATAGGGACACCTGCACGGATACTAAGTCTGCTCCAATCAAAAGTTGGTCCATCCTTCGTCTACGTCGCGTGAGTTAACCAAATGTCACAGACACTGGATCTTCAATCCCTCGAAATTCTCGTTATAGACGAAGCAGACCTCATACTATCGTATGGACACGCTCAGACCATGAACACCCTCCTCTCTTCCACCTCGGTGAGCACCACCGGCCCAGCAGACTCGACGTCAGCAAAACAAAAGAAAGGCAACTACCTTCCACCTGTCTTTCAATCCCTTCTCATGTCGGCCACACTCACCGCCGACGTGACCGTCCTAAAATCTTTGGTCCTTCGCAATCCGGCCATTCTCACCCTGACAGAGGAAGACGACGAAGAATCAAAGAGTCTCCTTTCGCAATATGTCCTACATTTGCCCACGGAGATCGACAAGTTCCTATACATCTATGTTATTCTTAAACTTAAACTTATCAAGGGGAAGGCAATCTTGTTCGTCAATGATGTGGAGAGATGTTATCGACTCAAACTGTTCCTGGAGCAGTTCAGTATAAGGGCATGCGTGCTCAACAGGGAGCTCCCGATCAATTCAAGGTAAGTGCATAGGATTAAGCTTGTACTACCCAAGGCTGACAGAATGTAGATATCACACGATCGAAGAGTTCAACAAAGGCATATATGAATATATTATTGCGACCGACGAGAGTGGAGGAAGGAATGAAGAGTTCGATTCCGACGTAGAGGAGGAAGCTGATGATATTGTAGAGGGTGACGCTAACATGGACGATTGTGAGTGTGACAAAAAAGCCGGGGACCAATGGTATTGATACAATAAATTAGTCGCTCAGACGCAGAGAGCTGTTGCCACAGCGGATGATGAGAGAGCAGACCCATCATCGCCCAAGAAACGTAAACTGGACGAAGTCAAAGATGAAGATGTAGATATGGATGATGAATCACTTCCAAAAAAGCGTCAAAAAGTCAAACGAGATCAGGGCAAGAAGAAACCAGCTAAAGGAGAGGAGAAAGAGTACTCTACCTCCCGTGGAGTGGACTTTGTCAATGTTGCTTGTGTGGTCAATTTCGATCTACCCCTGTCAAGTAAGAGTTACGTACATCGTGTCGGCCGAACAGCAAGAGCTGGTCGAGGTGGCGTGGCGATAAGCTTTGTCACCTCTCGTCCAGGTGACAAGTCCAAGGTATTTGCCGTCACATATACTCCTTGATGTTTATTGACCACAGTATTCAGGTG